GATGGGGATGGGGAGAGCTCGGGGCTTGGGGATGGGGAGGGGCTTGGGGTGGGGTTGGGAGAGGGTGAAGGTGAGGGCGAGGCGAACGGGATTGGGCTGGGCGAGGGTGATGGGGAGGCGCTGGGTGAGGGTGAGGGTGCAGGTGAAGGTGAGGGCGAGGCGAACGGGAATGGGCTGGGCGAGGGTGATGGGGAGGCGGCTGGGCTTGGACTTGGCTGTGGTGAAGGCGATTCGCTAGGCGGGGAGGGTGATGGGGAGGCAGATGGGCTTGGGCTGACAGATGGGCTTGGGCTGGGGGAAGGTGATGGTGAGGGGGAAGAAGGAGCCGGGGACGGCGACAGCTCCAGGGACGGCGAAGGCGACGGGGAGATGCCTGTGAGCAGGAATGGCAGCATGGCAGGAATGGCATGATGGTTGGCGGGGCAAGCAGGCAGGCAAGGCAGCCGCAGGTGGGGCCGGTCAGAGCACCGCTCGTCGGGCGCATGCCGTGCAATGTGCGGCGGCCTGCATGCAAACGGCGCTTGGGGCAGGCGCGCGGCTGGGTGCAGGACTGACCGGAGGGCGTGATGATGCCATCGCCTGAGTCGACCGAGGGGTTGCCGCCCACCATGTCCCCTCCGCCCCCGCCGCCGCCGCCCGCGCCGCCACCGCCCGCATCCCCGCCACCGTCTATCGCGTCGCCGCCAGCTCCACCCGAGTCACCCGCGCCGCTAGAGCCTGAACAGAGGTGCGGCAACGTGTAACCAGTTCGCGGCAGGCGAGGTGGCAGGCAGCAGCGGTAGGGGACAGCAAGGCGGCAGCCGCGTCTACAGCCTCAGCCCACCCGCGTCGCCGCCGCCGCCAATCACGTCGCCTCCAGATCCGCCCGAGCCACCGTCGCCGCCAGCGCCTGGCAAAGGGGGGAACCAATGGAGGGCACGTGAGCCGGCAAGCGGTGGAGGAATATGCGCAGAGGGCAAGCCCAAACAAGCAGGACGCAGCAACCCCTGGTGAAGGCACCTGCGTCGCCGCCGCCGCCAATCACGTCGCCGCCCGAGCCGCCTGAGCCGCCGTCGCCGCCAGCGCCTGGGCCAGGAGAGGAGGCAATGGGGAGCAGGTGGGCATGCGAGAGGAGAGAGACAGCGAGCAAGACCGGGCAGCCGCAGCAGCCTGGCGGCATACCTGCGTCGCCGCCGCCGCCAATCACATCTCCGCCCGGGCCTCCAGCGCCGCCTCCGCCGCCAGAGCCTGAAGACAGCGCACACGAGGGCAGCATGGCAGTCATGGCAGTAGTCACCCCAACCAGGGGTCTCCTGTCCAGCCAGCTGCTCACAGGGCAGCCCTGCAGCTGGTGCACACAGGCAGCTTCAACGCACCAGCATCGCCGCCACCGCCATTCACGTCGCCGCCGGGCCCTCCAGAGCCACCCGTGCCGCCAGAGCCTGGCGCAACCGAGGAAAAAGATGCAATCAGTGTGGTGGTGGTGGCGGCAGGCGCATGCACGCTCATGGAGCAATGCAAGCCTCAACCAGCCTCCACCCGGGGCCCCTGAGAGCACACCTGCATCGCCGCCACCGCCAATCACATCGCCGCCAGAGCCCCCGGAGCCCCCGTCGCCGCCAGAGCCTGAAAAGCAAAGGATGAGCAGCTCAGTGACATCAGTAGCAGCTCCAAGACGCATGTGCAGCCACCGCACAGCTTGCTGAGGGTGCTAGCAGGCCACAGCGCACAACCAGCGCTGCTCCAACGCACCAGCATCACCGCCGCCGCCATTCACATCGCCGCCAGACCCTCCAGAGCCGCCCGTGCCGCCAGAGCCTGGAGGCAGGAGAAAACAACAAGATGCAATCAGTGTGGTGGTGGGGCAGGTGGGGCTGGGTGAGCCACAGATGGGCAGCCCCCACAGCAGTCCCAGTGACACACCTGCATCTCCGCCGCCGCCAATCACGTCGCCGCCAGAGCCGCCTGAGCCACCGGTACCGCCAGAGCCTGAAGCAAGCAAGGGAGACAGCGGGGGTGACGACAGTCGGCGCCCGGGCCAATACGAGCAGCAGCCCAAGCAGCGGCTTCCCAGCCACTCCCACAGCCCGCATCGCAGCCCTGAGCTGGTGAAAGCAAGCTGCAGCACACAGCTACACAGCCAGCACTGATCAACGCACCAGCATCACCGCCGCCGCCATTCACATCGCCGCCAGAGCCTCCAGAGCCGCCCGTGCCACCAGAGCCTGGATGCAGGAGAAGACAACAAGATGCACTTGGTGTGGTGGTGGAGGCAGGAAGGTTGCCAGCAGCGGCTAAAGACACAGAGCTGGCAGCGCACCGGCATCGCCGCCACCGCCAACCACGTCGCCGCCGGAGCCTCCAAAGCCACCCGTGCCGCCAGATCCTGCACTCAAGCAGTGTCAGCAGGAATGAGAGAGCAGCAATGGCATTGCCAGGCCAGGCAGCAGCAGCCCTGAGCAGCAAACCACGCATCCGCCCACGCCCTGCCGACCCGCACTCAGCATTGCAGCCTGCCCAGGGATATTGGGCAACAGCACACAACCAGCGCTGTTTCCAACGCACCAGCATCACCGCCGCCGCCATTCACATCGCCGCCAGACCCTCCAGAGCCACCGGTGCCGCCAGAGCCTGGAGGGAGGAGAAGACATGAGGAGCATGTGGAGGCAGCAAGCGGTGAAGGAAAGCAAGCAGAGGGCAGGCCTCAGCAGCCGCGGCAACACACCTGGCGTCGCCGCCGCCACCAATCACGTTGCCACCAGAGCCGCCTGAGCCACCGTCGCCGCCAGAGCCTGAAGCAAGCCGAAAATAACGAGATGCATTGAGTGTGGTGGGGGGGGCAGGCAGGTGGGAAGTGCCGGCTGAAGACACAGAGCTGGCAGCGCACCGGCATCGCCGCCACCGCCGATCACATCGCCGCCGGAACCTCCAGAGCCACCCGTGCCGCCAGAGCCTGCACCCAAGCAGTGCCAACAGGAATTGGAGAGCAGCCATGGCAGTGCCAGGCCACGCAGCAGGAGCCCCAAGCAGCAACCCACCCCCACACCCATGGCCCAGCACAGGACCTCTGAACGCAGTCCTGCACAGATGGCAACAAGTGCCAGCACACAGTGGGCGCTGTTCCAATGCACCTGCGTCACCGCCGCCGCCAATCACGTCGCCGCCAGACCCTCCTGAGCCACCCGTGCCGCCAGAGCCTGGCACAACCGAAAACAAGAGGGGGCCCGGCACCGAAGGTGGGCAGGGTCAAACCGACGCTCAGAGGGCAGTGGCCATGCCGCTTCCGGCGGCCCAATCCCCCACCCACACACCACACACACAAGCAGCCCAATGCTTTCTCACCAGCGTCGCCCGTCCCGCCAATCACGGAGCCGCCGCCGCCGCCCGAGCCGCCCGCGCCGCCATCTCCCGCTCCGCCGATGCCATCCACCACCTCGCCTCCCGCGCCTCCGCTGCCCCCCGCGCCGCCGTCGCCGGCGTCGCCGCCGCCTCCAACCACGTCGCCGCCGGCGCCGCCGCTCCCGCCAGCCCCTCCGTCGCCCGCGTCGCCGCCGCCACCCGTCACAGAGCCGCCAGCGCCGCCGCCGCCGCCCGCGCCGCCATCTCCCGCAGAGCCGCCGGGGCCGACGACGCTGCCGCCCGCGCCGCCCGCGCCGCCCGCGCCTGCACTCAAGCAGATGGCAGGGGCGAGGGGCGAGGTCACTGCGTGCCAGGGACAACCCGCTTGGAGGCGGCAGTGCACACACACACACACACACACACACATGCGCCTGGGCTGGGCTGGCAGCCCCGCCAGCACACCACCCCAGCACACCACCCCAGCACACCACCCCAGGCCCAGGGCCCGCACCTCCGCTACCGCCGGATCCTCCAGCCCCTCCCGCCCCGCCGGCGCCACCCGCCCCTCCATCCCCTGCAGGCGCCAAGCAAGGAGCAGGCAGGGAGGCGGGCTCAGCGGCAGCCGCCCAGGAAGCAGCGTCAGCACTTGTCTACGCAGCCGTCCCTGCTCCTTGCCGCCCGCGGAACCAACGGCACCCCCCCACACACACCCACACACCTCCGTCGCCGCCAATCGCAACCACAGTGATGTTGTTGATGACGGTGGCAGTGGCGCTGCCGCCCTGGCCGCCGCCGCCGCCGCTGCCACCGCTGCCGCCGCTCCCGCCGCCGCCGCCGCTGCCGCCGCCGCCGGTGCTGGTGCCGCCGCCGCCGGTGCTGGTACCGCCGCCGCCGGAGCTGGTGCCACCGCCGCTGCCGCCGCCGATGACCTGCCCCGGTTTGCCCGGCTGCCCCGCCTGCCCCGGCTGGCCGCCGCCGTGCGAGTCCTGGCCTCCCGCGCCGCCCGCGCCGGGCGCGCCGCCCTGGCCCGGCGTGCCGGTGCATGCGGGAGGGCGGGTGAAGTGCGGGGTGGGGTTGGCGCAGGTGTTTTCCTCCACCGCTGTATACGGCGGCTGCTTGGTCATGAAGAGCGGGAAGCGGGCGCTCCAGCCAAGGACATCTGATCCTGCGGTAAGCGCCCAATAGGCGTCAGCCACGCTCCAGGCGGGCAGCTCGCAGTCGTCGCCGCAGGCCGCCACGCCGTCCACGAGCGCCGACTTGAGGGCTGCCTGGCACATGGGCGTGGCAGACGGATCAACCAGCTTCATCTGTGCGGGCGCAGGGGCGCACGGTGGGGGGTGGGGGGTGGGTGGCAAAGAAGGTGCGTGCTGTGAGGGCACTGGAGCGAGGGCAGGGCGGGGCGGGAGGGAGTGCAGGGCGGTGTGCCGACAGCCCCAGAAAAGAATCCGGCACAGCACAGCGGCAGCGGCAGCAGCAGTGCCTCGCCACCACCCCACCACCACCTCAGCCCCCTATAAACACCACACACACACCACACACCACACAAGCGCCTCACCTCCAGGCTTCCGAGTGTGTTCACCTCCACCCCCGCGCCGCCGTCCACAGTCAGGTCAGTGGTGCCCGTGCCCTGCAACCACACACAATACGCGACACACAACACACAGCACGGCGTGAGGCGGGAGGCTCCACGACCCGGGCGGAGCGCTTGGGGGCAGCATGGGGGCAGCGTGGGGGAGGCGGGGAGCGAGGCCACGGAGGCGGGCCCCGGCCCCGGCGCCCTCCCGCTGCCCACCAGGCTGCCCTCCCCCGTCCTGCCCCAGCTCGGCACCAGCCCGCCACCAGACCTTGAATGGGCGGTACAGGGTGTTCACCCGCTTCGTGCACAGCTTCCTGCCACCTTCCCCCTCCAGCTTCACGTAGTTGCCAAACCAGGGGGCCACGGCGGACAGGCCCCGGAAGGTGTCGCCGTCCTGCGCAGCATGAGGGGATGCAGGGGGCGGGGCAGGGAGGCATGGGTGGGGCACATGGGGTGCAAGGCGCCACATGGCTGTGCTGTCACAATACCGCAATACCGATTCGCTCCGCCTGGCCTCCCCTCCCCTTGCTTGCTGCCTCTC